GTAGACATTACTTTACTGATGGTGCCTTAAAAGAGACTCATTCTTAATTTCCCTTTTCCGATTCTCTGCACATTGACGGTAAAGTCATTCATTGAGGACAGAAGAGACCAAAGCAGAGACATCTGCCAACAGTGCACAGCAAATGTCTGGCACAAGTCAAGCACAGCCACACAGATGTGTGTGGTGGAACCTCAATAAATATTTTTTTGTTTATGAGAAAAGGTAGTGTAATAGTTTTAAAGCTTGTTCCAGTGTCATTGCCTGGACCAAGTAGTTTTGTGGTCACTGAAAGGCCAGTAATCCACTCTTAATCCACGTGCAATGTTCCCATTTTTCACTAAAGAAGTTTTAAATCAAAGCTGTCTCACAGTTAAATCAGAGTTAAATACTCTCAGGTGGGTTTGCTATTGGAAAGAAGGTCAAAATGAGTCCAAAATGGAATCCTTTTAATCTGCGCACACATGAAAATGAAAGATGTGTAAATCAAATGCATCTAAATGATTCCAGACAGGTGGAGCCTCATGAAGAAAAAAGGTTTTAATGACTCCATCTACTTCACAACATGCCGAGAGCTACGCACCTGAAACCGACGTGGACGTTTCAGGAGATTAGTGGTTAGTTACTGAACACAAACACTCATATAAAAGCAAGATGCATGTGGGATGTCAAAGAAGAATATTTAGTGAATTACTGAAGCATTTGGTACACCAAACAGTCAGGCTTGCTAAGGCCAATAAACCATTAAATAATTGGACATCCCATCTTGAAAGGAGCAGGAGCTTTCACAGCAAGTACTTCAAAACAACAGCATTGTTCCTTTGACAAAACAAATGTGTTTTATGTGCACACTTTTGTTTTAAAAGCATAATTCAGTTCCAGGCAGCGGGGGAATTATGGCCTGCAAGTCATGCAAGGAGTTCATCTGTCAGCTCCTGTTAATGTTAGCTTGGAGAATTTTCTTTCTGTTGCCAACGCCTGAGCTGAGACTGGAAGCTTCCAGTGACGTGTGATCCAGATCCCTCGGCTTCATCATTGTGAGGCCCCATTCTTTCCACAGGACCATAGTTCCTGACCACAATAGCTAACAGTATAATGATAGGTTAGCTGCCATGAATGACACCGAGGAACTGTGAGCCAGAAGAACTGCTGTTTGACTTAAACATTGACAGCAGCAATTTCCCACTTACTTGAAGCTGCCACTTTATAACTTCAGTGAATATGCTTTAAGATATGAGTAACTGATAGAGTAGTAACCATACTGGTGTATGAAAATGTTTCAAGAAAAAAGCTGATAACCATGCAGTTAAAGCCATTTATAAGAAGATCTGATGCATATTTTGTAAAGGTATTTTTTAATCCATTAAACAGACTCACTCTTAATGGATTCAGGTTTTGACCTGACCTTGCACTGAGAATGGCTGCTGTATTAGAAATTTATTTTAGCTGGTCAATAAGTTGGAAATTTGCTTCAGTCTGATGATTAGCAATGCTGAGCAACTGTTGGGGGAGGAACTGTGGTGCAAAACGTTTTCTCCTTAGGAGCCTTTAAGACTTGAGATTAGGAATCATGATGACAAAAATCCAGAGTGTCATCATCTGCTGGGAGCTTAGAGTGGATTCTCTGCTGGTCTGCACCATGGAGAGCCAGGCGAGGATGTTTGTGGGTTTGATCAGGAGGAATTGGAGGAACTGTTTTCCCCTCATTGGGCTAAGGCTCCCACTAAATACATTTTGTATTAACTTGTGCTGTCTACTTTCCAGTGATGTTATGTAAGTGCTTCTCATAATGCCCAGTGAATGGCAAACATGTAATTTGGATTCATGTTGATGCGAAGAAGTAAAGGCAAACGATTGGCCAACTTACTGCAATAAAACAACATTGATGACCAAACAAAAAGAATAATACACTCAAAACAAAAGCAATTTATGATGGCCAAGCTATGACACCTACTACTCTGCTTCATCACAATCATTTCTATTTTAAGAAGTTACATTTGCCATCCGGTAGCCTGTGGTCACTCTTTCCAAAATATGAGCACAGTTCCTAAGAAAAAACCCTGCATCATATGGTTCTACTTTTTTATATAAACAGTCATATGGTTGCTTGGTTGGTAGCCAAAAACTACAGCATTTCCTCTAAAACTTTTACGAGAATCTCCAGGGGTCTCAAGGTGAAAGGAAACATCTCACACCTTCCATGTGTCACTTCCTGCTCAGTAGTAAATTTCCATAAGTCAGACTGGAATTTCCAACTGTTTAAGAAATATTCCATCTGTTAATCTGGGACTGCAAGAATAAACGCACCACCTTCAAATGCTATCAGCTAACAAAATACTGTTTACCCTCAGCATAAAGCCAGATTTTTTACAAGCAAATTGTAATTACAAGTTTTGAATAGCAGACCTTTCTTTAAGTTACTGAAAACAACATTTTTAACTGAATTGTCATGCCCAGCCAGTCTCTGTTGGCTGCTTCCATAGCAGTTCATCACTGCATATAAAACATCAGAGCCAAAAATATCAAATAACGTCCGAGTCAGCCTGAGAAAGGATACGATGTGTATATCTATTCCACTGAGACTCAGGAACAATCAGCATTGTGATGCTGTTTCAAAAAACAGCCGGAAACAAAGAAAGAGAGAGCTGTGGTCTTTTAAGTGGCCTCGGGGAGCGGATGTTTCCTCTGTTCACGCTGAGAAGATTCCACCTGCATGTGACACTGAAGTGGCCCTGAGTTGCTGGTTTCAAGCTGCTCATGTTCACTTTATTGGAGAAGACGCCAGAGAGCATTTTTAGAGTTTTCTGAAGGAGGAAGGAAGGACTGGATGAGATGATACAGAGATAGAGAAAAGGAAACAGGGAGGATTTTCTCCTCTCATGTTTCCACCAGTCATGCTCGTCAGTGTTTGTATAAACTGATGCTGATGGTCTGCCTCACTTTGGTCTGGGATTTGCTTTAGCTGTTGCATGTTAAAGCAGGACCTCAGCTTGGACTGACTTTGAGTCAGGAAAGCTGAAGGGCCGTTGGTTTTATAGAAAAAGATTTGGACAATTTTCATTATCTTCAAAAAAATAAAATAATAAAATGCAATTTCATTGAGACATCAAGGCAGATTAAAATTATAATATCTTAAAGGATTATATGCTGTGTCATATTTGCTGCTCATAGCTTCATATTTTCCATACAAATAGTATCTTGGGTCAGCTGGAGTCTCACTGCAGTTACATAACCTAATAACAGTGCTCAAGGCTCCAGGGGAAAAAATGCACAAAGACTTTTGCAAAAATTTAATGAGTAAAATGAACTGTCTTGTTTATAGTATTTATTTATCCTGCATTAATAACCCTAAGCTCTGATAACACCTGCAAAATGATGTGAAAGAATTAATGAATCCTTTGTCAATGTTTCTTCTAAAAATATGAATGACTGAAGTCACTGTTTCACAGCTGTGTTACTTATTGTTGAGAAAATATCTGCTGGCTGGAAATGGTTGACTGGCATGATTTACGGTCACAAAACGCCTAATAGTTTGATCTAAAAACAATAATCTTTGGTGTGAACGTTGTTTTTGACAGAAGTGGGTTAAAAGTAAGTTCTTTTTAATATCAGTGAGCTGTCATCCTTTTCTAACCCAACTTAATTTGGAGATTTTGGGAATCTCTCAGCAGCGGATGCAGCAAACCTGCTATTTCCAGTTAGGAATGCTAACTGTGCTAATTGCTAAGGTAAGATGCTTGACAGCCTTAATATCAATCCCCTCATTGTGCTGTCTTCGTCATAAACTGCTGAAAAGTTTTACTTTTGAAAACAATCGCTAGTGAAAAGTAATTTTGCACAGAGGGGCTGAGGCGGCGCAGCGTGACCCCCAGGATGACCTTTGTCTCATGTCTTCCCTCTCTCTCAACCTGCTTTCCTGTCTGACAACGATAAAGGAAAGGCCATGAGAGCAAATAAAACCTAAAAACCCCCCAACTAAACTAGGCACAACTTTTAAGCAAGTCGTTTCATTTTCTGGTTTAGTAATAAATACTAAACATATCACAGCATGATGACGGAAAAATCCCCTGGAAAACTGACAGAGTCACTGCTGAGAAATCATGTGATGTAGATAAGAAATAAACTTTAAAAATGATATTAAAAGTGAAAGTGAACATTTTTTAACAAAGAGCAATAGTGCTAACCTTCTGTATATTTTGCTGCAAATGCAGGTCAGGCTTAATTCTACTACAACACAATCCTTGACAACTCAACATCTCTCACAAATACAATACTCTCGTTGTCTGTTTCCATCCAACAAACTCTTCACGCACAACATATGTACACACATGCTTACACCCAACACACGTCTCATTTTCTATGTGCTCAGAAACAAGCCGCCGTGCCAGAACTTGGGGAAAAAAATGGGAAAAAGCTCATCTGGTGGAGTTCATCATGCCGTGAATCTCCTTTTGGCAGCTGATCATTTGGAGAACAATCGAGACACTATTTCAGCACGGTTCCAGCGAACAGAGGGACACATTCTCCCATTTATAACGGAGTTAATGGCCATGTACATGCAGCTTGTGGATCGAGTTTTGCGCCCGTTTCCATAGATTCTGTTTGCTGTCAAAACAAACTGGAACCACTCAACCACTAAGTTGTAAAGGTCACAGTTATGGCTGCAGACATGACTTACCTTGTCCTGTGGGAGACGCAAAGGGCTATAAAAGACACTATCACTGACAGCGGATTTTAGAGCATAACTCAAATTTAGCTTCACTAGATTAAAGATTTGATGTTGTGGAGTAAAAATCAGTCACTTTCTTTTTTATGGTGTCATATTCTTACGTCCACTATTTAAAAGTCTTATCTAATGAATTCCATTCAACATGGTGACATGTTATGAGAAGTTTCCTACTAAGGCCTGATCATAGTGAAACAAAGAGATGAGTTGTGACTGCTTCCAAGTTTTATGCAAATTTCATTCTGACAAAACGCAATCCGGAGAAGATGGTGGTTACCTGTGCATCAGGCTCAGCGTACGGACTTATCTTTCCATCTTCGCTGACAGTTGGTGACCACACTCTCTCTCCAGATCCCGATCTGAAACACAAGCCCCATGAGAGACGGAGTTAAATACATCCTCTGCCAACATACACTGTAGTGCTGAAGCGTCTGAAAATTTCTGCTGAGATGGATGGATTTTCTTTTTTTTTGCTGACAATATTCCTTCTGTATTAAGTGTCATTTTTTCCGAGAGTGAAATACTAAAAACTAACAAAGAAAAAGTGAAAGTAGACACTGTTCCTATTTGTTTTTCTGACATGACTGAGCCAGGAAATAACCCACTCATCAACACATAGGGTAATTGTTAGAAGTGAAGAAAATCAATTTTTTATTTATTTTTTTACAAATATTTAAGAAGTACATCAAGTTTTTGTAATCGACCCTTTGTACTCTTATATCCATAAATAAAATCCTCTGAAATAAATTGCAGTCAGTAAAATTCATTTGCTAAGTAGAGTCAATCTTTAGTTACTCTTGGAAAACGTATTGCACACTGACACACCTGTCGTCTGTCTACTTGACCTGACCAGCCAGGAGGAGTTCCGGAGGCGCTGCACAAATCAACAGGACAAGCAGCAGTCATGAACTTCCCAATCTGGCAGCGTGACCGCTGCAGTTAACCACAACCCACAGAATGGAAGCTGTTCAGGTCAAATGAAAAAACAACATTTTTGCTACATGTGGGGAAACACTGACTGCAGAGATCCAAAAAGTAAAAGATGGTGGGGACGGCATGTTTGTTGTGATCATGCTTTTGTTCATAAAAATCTCAATAAAACTAAATTAATTCATAACATTTTGTGGTTGTTGCATTGCAAAATTTATTGTGGGAAATGAGTATAATTACTTCTCATCATCCCTCCAGACACAGAGGAACATAGTAATGTAACATCCAACACTTCAATGAGAGATGTAGTTTGGGTCACAGCCAGTTCTTACTACTATTTTACAGAAGTAGTGACAACTCTATGACTGCTATCTAAGATTGTTAGATTGTTCTTTTGTTTGTATGCATAATAATTAACTGCAGCTGAAAATACTTATGAAAATGTGCACAAAATACTGAATGATTGCTAGGGTGAGATGGATTATTTATTGCATATCTCAATAGGCCTACTGCATACACATAAGCAGGTGTTCACATAATTCACCTCTTCCTTTAGAAAACATACAGAAAAATGCTTCAGTGAAACCAAAAATGTGTCACCTTTTCCAGATAAAACAATGTAATTCATTCAGAGCTCTCTTCAGTTCTGTTTCACTGTCAAGTTATGTGTAAAAGTCACAAGATTGAAGAGGGTTATTTTATGTAACATGAATCCAGATGAACCATAGTGTTGAATATGAAGAAGGGAACGAATGAAGCTTTCTTAAGGGTAACACTGGGCCAATGTGCCAAAGAAGAGCATATTTACCCCCGAAACACACAAATGCGAGTGTCTGCATGCAGTTGCTGACCCCCACAGACGGGTGAGGCTTTGTCGAACTAGATGAGATCAGTGGGTTGCAAGCTGGCACAGCATTACTCAGGCTGAGGCAATGCTCCAGATATGAACCACGGAGGTGTTGCTATCAAGTGTGCTCTTATGAGGCGCCGAGTGTCTGCTGGATGAGCAGCAGCTCCAGAACTGCGTAGGAAGAAGGCTCCCGCCCTTGCACTAAGACCTCCATGATTCAGAAGCAGAAAGTCATCATTCTTTCCCCAGTTTGTTTGGTTGCAGTGGTTACCACACAAGCAGCCTATTGAGATGTGAAAGTTCAAATTCAAGCCTGCTGGCTGGACCGACATTTTTAAAGAGTCAAACAAAAACAGGCTGAAGTGGAAATGATCACAGGATGACCAGTTTGAACCTCACATTGTTGGCTCTGCCAAACCCAGAATTACTCCAAAGACACATGTTGTTTATCTTTTGAAATAAAAAAAAAAATAAAATGTCCAGCTGGAAGACAGCTGAACTCGATAAGTTAGTTTAGTTCATCCACTCAAATATAGACTCAGTTCTTTTTCTAAATGACAGCAACAAACACGTAATACCAGGTCAATAAATAAGTGTGGTCAGTTACAAACAATGAACTATACAAACGGAAAGTGTGACATTCATTTGTCAACAATTTGTACAACTAATATTATTCCAGCTCTATTTATGCTGAAGTTAAATTATACATCCTCCAGTTGGAGTATTTACAAAATGGGTGACTTGTTACACTGGATTTTATTTAGGTGTCAGAGTAAAGTGGAAAAATCTGCATGAACTCCATAAGTTTCAAAAATTGTAAAAAACCAAACCCACCGTATCACAATTACAGACAAAAATATCGAATAAACAGCTGACATCCAACTGTGTTTAAATAAGAATATTGTTGATCAATGATTGTTCCAAGCTTCAACTAGATTCATAGTTGTATTTGTCTCCGATCAAAAGCATTTAGGAGAAATGTCCTTCTGGACTCTATAGGTTACAACAGAAGCTGCTACTTTCTGTGCTGAAAGAATTTCAGTGTTTTCTGAAATACATCTGCTACATTTAAATGCACCGTTTCAGACATTCCTTGACAAAAATCTGGTTGCGGTTGATGACGAGATCAAATTATCCAATGATTCCCCCAGTGCAGTAAATGCTGAAATCATAACCACATGAAAGAGAGAAACGTGAGAGTACAGCTGAGACGGAGGGCAGCAGAGGCGGCGCCGCTGGCAGACCTCTGAGTGAGCTGGTTCCTTTGGAGGTTTCTTTTTGTTTTGCCCCAGCAGGAGTCTGTTGCTCCTTCGCTCCCATGCAGTTTTCATGCTCAATTCCTCAGCTGTGACTCACAGGTCACAAAGTCAGGGCGAGACTTAAAGGGCAAAGCCTCCACCAAGGGGAACTTTAACTCCATCTCTAATTTCTATGATTCTTTCCAAATCCTTCGAAGCTTCCCTTGTTTTAGTTTCAATCTGGAGATGATGAGATTTATTTTTAATATGTAGTAAAACTTAATATGTTTTCCTCATTTAAAACCTTCTGATCCTGGATTTTTTGTTTTAATTCATGTTTATGTAACTCAAGTATTACAGCAACAGAAACACTTCTGATTATAGAACCTTCCAAAATAATCTTACTCTTTTAACCCACTAGGTCACAAACATAACCTTTACATTTATTTCAGTAAAATATAAAATACACCAATGCAGAATAGAGCATACTTGTGAAAAGGACTAAACAGGATCCAGGGTTTTTTGTTTACAAAGAAAATCTTGTGTTCAGCCCTATTTACTCGACTGTGTACCACTAATTAGTACATTGAGTTCATCATCTGTGTAATTTAATCTCAGAATAAAGACATCTGTTTTGTGGCTAAGTTAGGTGGAAAATTAGCACCTTACATCACCATAAACATATTCCAGCCACAGTGACAGCAACATGAGGTGGAGATACTTTTCTTTAGCAAGGAAGTGAAAATCCAAATAAAATACATTGAGGTGTATGGTTACACTGTGAAAATGTTTAAGGGGTCTGGACAGAGAAGCAGTAACATTCACTAAGTGAACCAGTTGACCTAATGGCTTCTTGTGGTAATTTGTAATATTTTACCAGCAAGTTTATATCCCTGTAAATAGCCAAAACAAAGATGAATGACATTTTAAACTATAATTACCCTCGACTGGGATCATCTGCTCTCAATAAAAAAGAAGCGACTAGAATTTCATTTGTGTTGCTATATTTCTGTTAAACGGTTTCACTGAAACCTCCTGATGATTCCAAATATTATGGACTTTGGTTTGGAAAGCGACTCTTCAGTGCTTTCTTGTAAATGGAAGTTTTCAAAGGTTTGAAGACCAAAACAAAATTTCCTTTAATCCAGCTCTGCAGAAGCCAAACCTCACTGATTGTAACGCTGAAAAATAATGCATGTGAGGAAAGCGGATTTGTGCCATTTGGTGCAAACTTTTGTTTAAACCTCCAAACCACCAAGTAGAATTTTAATGAGAACAGATGATTGTTCATGTTTCACCATAACTGTTTGGATGACATGAACAAGACGGTGTCACACGCAGTGCGGAAATGATGACTCATTTTTCATCGCATTAACTCGCCACACACGACTCTTTCCGAAGACGTTGACCAGCGGCGGAAACTTGCATTCCAACCACCATAATCTGTCTCTCATGCTGTTCAGACAAAACATTTTCTTCAACACTGCAGTGAAGTGAAGGCACCACAAAAGAAATGGGAAATAAAAAAAGAAGAAAAGATAGAAAGAATTCAGTCGGATGGGATTTGGGTTTGGAGGGGAAACAGCGGGGAGAACATGTTAAGGTCACGAACAAAGAGGTTGTGGAGGACAAGGAGGGAGGATGAGAACGAGGAGAGGTTTTCCTCTCCAGCTGGTTCAGATGAGTAAATGTCTGAAAATATACAGAGTACGAGTCTGTCCACAAATCCACACTAAATTTAGGCACAACACGTGTGAAGAGGGATTCTTCTACTTTTCCTTCGCAAAATTACAAGGCGGATTTAAAGACTGAGGTCATGAAGTAACAGAGAGAGAGAGACAGGCACACGTCAGCAGGAAAGTATGATGAAAAATGGAAAGATTTTCATTGTTGATGCTGGAATAATTTTTTCATTCTCTTTCCTGTTTTCCCATTCTTCCAACCAAAATTATTCTTTATTCTTCTTTTCCCTCAACAGATTTCTAAGCATAACCCAAACAACTAAAGTTGAACTAAAGTTTAGTTCAACTTTACTACTCTAAAGTTAACATTTAGAGTAGTTTTTGCAGAATCTCTTTAAATTGGGCAGATAGAAGAGGCTAATGAGGGCAGCATTTTTTTTTATCAGGGTTGTTAAAATACATTCAGGTCAGGAGATTTTTAGAAAAAGATTCATAATTTATAGTCAATGTTTTGCACATCGCAACTTACATCAGTATTGAATTCTATAAATATTTATTCTATCAAAATTAGTTTGATAACCTGAAAAATTGAAGTGTGACAAAAAAAGAAAAAAAAACAGAAGAAAACAGCAGGACACTAAGAATACTGATGTTGTTAT